TTAGGGTTTAGAGTACGGGTAGTTCTCTAGATTATTGTCCCCTAAGCGGGACACTAATTCAGAGAACTAGGTTGGAAGAACGACTTCCGCGGAAGTGCTGTTCAGGCATTTCATATCAAGGCCCCCGAGAACTTGGCGCCGCCTGCGATGGTGAAGCAGGCAGGGTCAGAATCCCCGTGCTAGCGTAGTCCCCGTTTTTGAGATTCACATTCCTCGCACGTTATATGCAGGTGAACATTAGCATTGAGAACTGACACCCTGCACATGTCTTGCGACTCAGAACCAAGGAGTAATGCCTCGGGTCGCAGAATCACCTTAAGCCCTAAACCCCCAAAGGTAGTGGGCAATTTGGGATAACCCTTTAGTTTCGCTGGCACTCACTCTTGCATAAAAGGTATCTGCTGACAGGTAACGACTCTGGTCCTTGCAGTTTGCAACCCAGAAGCTTCACTTGCTAGTACATCCCTATACCCTAAACCATATACCCTAAACCCTATACCCGAAACCCCTAACTCCTAAACCCCAAACCCCAAGCCCTAGAGGTTCGATTTTTAATTCAGCCCGATCCAAGGTGCAGTGTTTTGAGATTTCTGCATTTGGCTTCTGTAGCACGGCTGTTGAGCCTACCCATAGGCCCCATTGTACTTCCTTTTTGGGTTCATATTTAGAATCCTATAAGGTAATCCCAAAAAGGAACTACTATGGGGCCTATGGGCAGGGCCTAGGGTCCCTGGTCAACGGAGAGACCTCCTGAAGCGCGAAGAGCCTCCTCGAAAAGCATGATTTAGGGTTTAGGGTTTAGGGTTTAGGGTTGAGTAGAGATCCTTCTAAAACTCAACTTAATGTTGTAAAGCCCTAAACCCTAAAGCATGACCCCCCACAAGCTCAACTTGCAAGGCTAAAAGCACCCTATGGAATCCATATGAAGCCCTTGTTAAAGTTCACCCCGAATGCTGACCCCAAACTTTGATCTCCGACCTCTTGAATCCAAGCCTGCCGAGTGCGAGTGTTTTCTACTATTGGGGAGTATGATAGGGTTTGGGGTTTAGTAGTATGGAGTACTAGAATAGTTCCCCGAGGATGCTGGACAAGTAAGAATGGGTCCAGAACACCAACATCTCATCCGAATCTGCCTAAGCTTAGGGGTGTTGGAGTGCTCAGGATGCATGGTTGAGCGTGGGCTGGGAGATGTCAGCTTGCTAACTTCTAAGGTAGAACCCATGGGCCCCTAGTATGGGCCCTTAACCCTGGAACCCTAATATACCTACTATATACCCTATATATATCCTTAAGGGACCCTAGAATCCCCCAAGGGCCCATGTTAGGGGCCCATGGGTTCAACCTTAGATAACTGTTGGTTTAGGGTTTTCAGGGGGTAAGTGGGGTTTGGCTCGCCCCGCCCTCAACCCCCGCGTGTTAACAGCGTCTGAAATCCGAAACTCCTGCCCCAAAGCCGGAAGTTGGACCCCCAAGACCTTGGGGTGTAGGGTTTAGGGAAAGCCTTAAAAACCCGAATCCGAAATCCGAAACCCAGCCCAACCAGGAGAAGCAAGCCGCTGCCGATGATACATTTGCATAATGTAGGGGCCTTAATAAGTAGAATAGGCTTTTGGGGGTATATTAGACCATAATCATCATAAGGAGCCCCCAAAATAGCATAGGCAACTATTACCCTAAACCCTGAACCCTAAACCCTAAACCCCTAAACCCTAAACCCTAAACCCCTAAACCTTAAATTAGGCCCCTTTTTTTAGCGACAGGAAGGTTGGGGAGGCTTCCCGGAGCTCCACAAACGCCAACTCCCGCAGACACACCCCTCTGTAATATAGGGTTTAGGGTTTAGGGTTTAGGGTTTAGGGTTCAGGGTTTAGGGTTTAGGGTTTAGGGTAATATAGGGGCCTAAGTACGGCCTAGTCCTCAATGGCGGAACTTTAAACTTTATGGCCCTATATACTAGGTCTATCCTAAAAAGTCTTAACTTGTTTGGGCCTGGTTGTTGAAGAAGAGAGCCGAGTAATTACCAATACTATGTTGGTGGGGTTCCTCTAAAAGGTTCCTTCTATAAGGGCTACTATAAGGGCTTAGGGTGTAGGGGCCTAAGTAATTACCAATGCTACTTTTTTTTTGGGGGGCGGGGGTTCTAGATTGTAGTTATAGCATAAGATACACCAAACCCTATTCTAATTCTCCTATATTATCGTCGATAACCAGAAATTCTAAGCATCAGTTAGTGAAGTCCTGCTAATGTATGTAACCGGTCGCCCCTCCCTTCACAAGCTGCCATCTCACATCGTAGGACCATGCCTTCGCTCACTCATAACATGATGTGAAGCCCGGGCTTCGTGGCTATGGATTGGATTTATAAGGTAGTTTCCGAACATGAGGGGTACCTTATTTCGGGGTCCTTATAATAAGGATCCTACTATTTAGGGTACTATATTAGGGTCCCCTACTGTCCGAAACCCCATGTTTCCTTGGTTTGAGTGCCCCGGGCAGAGATTCTTCGTGCCATGTCCAACATGCGTAGTCTTACAAAACCCGTGGGTATGATGCTTACTACGCGTGTTTTGAGTTTTGTCCGGAATTGTTCTTGCTGTCCATATTGCTGCAAGTATTCTTCTGATGGTGACGAATGATGCAGACGATAGTCGTGACGACCAGCATCATTTGTCCCAATCTTGTCCACTGTTCTTTGGTGACGAATAAGATCATCCCCAAACGGACAAATCATAAAGGAACATGCTCCTGAAACCGGAATTTACGACAGAAGATCCTGGTTACGGCTCCACGCGGTTGAGATTCTCTCAACTTGAGATTGTAGAGTTTCTGTTTCCTTTCAACTACGGAAGCTTATGGACGGTTTAGGGGTTAAGGGTTTTAGGGGTTTTAGGGTTTAGGGGTACGCTTTGGGATTTAAACACGCACCCTAATGTAGAGAACTACCCACATAAGTGGAGCTTCTTGCAGTCCCTGTCTTTCTCTGTGCGCTTCCCCGCAGTGCAATTTTCCCCTTGACTCTCAGTTGGCGGAGCAGCGATTCCGAAAAACGATCGTTTGGCAAAGTTGCGTTCAGTGGTCCGGTTCTGGGGTTATGGGTCTAGCATGCTTTAAATGATCTGCGCTTTACTAGTCAACCCAGCGCGACACACCAAACAAACTTAAACCCAAACAAGAAGCCCTGTGAATGCCTATTCACCGTAAAACCCCGAAACGCTCCAATCAAACTTAAGTAGTATGTTTATTGGGGGTCGCGGGTGGTATTTTAATACTTTTTAATGCGATTTGTTAACCTTTAGTTCACCCGGGAAACGGGAAAAGTAAGAAACCTCCACCCCAAGTTTTCCTAAATCCGTAAGTCTAAAGAACCAGGTCCTTCGAGGGGTATCAGCTGACATACTGGCAGCTCGTATGAGAGCCGAGGGGTTGCGTGAATATTTGGATTGGCGGATCGACGTTGAGTACGAAAACGCCATCCAAGCCCACAACACGGGGAGCTTGCTTGCCAAAGGTCAGCTGTCTGTAGACTTGGTCTTCTTAACCGCACATCTCGTGCGGAGATAAGGGGACTTGGCTCCGACGGGCAGCTGCACAAGTCGAGTTTTTGAAGGTCTGGGTTTAGGGTTTGGGGGTTTAGGGCTGAGAGACAGAGAGAGAGAGAGAGAGAGAGAGAGAGGGCTTAAGGCTATGGCGGAAATGCTGAAGCTTCGACATGAGCATTTTCTTTAGCGCCTACCCTTCACGCAGCGTTCATCGAAGCCTGAAGCCACTGCTTTGGGTGCGGTGGGGTCCGCGATGAGAGTTCCCAGCTCCTATAGCGATACATCCCAGAGAAACTAAGAGGGGAACCTTCGGTTAAGGGGTTTAGGGATAGTTTCGGGGTTTAGGGTTTAGGGTTCCAAAAAAAAGGAATAGGTCCGTCCAACTTCAATTTCGAGAACTTGAAGCCTACTTTGCTTGGGTGCTTCTCTCCTGTTGGCCGAAGGCCAACCGGTGCTGGAGTCCAGGCATCCTCCAGGGAGGGACCAAGTTAAGCACATGAAATGGGGGGAGAGTTGCGGGGGTCAGCATATTCAACCCAAAACCAAAACCTTACTTAGTCTTCATGTGATGCTGCCTTTATTCTGAAACTCCCCAGTCACTTCATGTGCTTCAATTCTGTATAGGTGCCAGCTCTTGCCAGCGCCTCCACTTCGAAACCAGGGAGCGTCCACCCTCAATCCGAACCTCTTCAGGGTTTGGGATTTAGGGTTTCGGGTCATGCCTGATGGAAAGATGTATAGCTTGTGTGCTGGACAAGCAGGCACTTCAGACAGGTTCTCCCATGAGAAACAAGCACGGCCAGAAGCGAGTCAGCAAAAAAAGGCTCCTCAACCGGAAGCTTTAACTCCGAAACCTCACGTCTGTCTGGTTTGGGTTTCCATGAGTACCCTACACCTGGACATCCAAAATTGCGCATAGACATCTACGAGAAGTGACGGTCACATCTAAACTGCAGCCGTACGTCCGTCGGTTTGTTGTCGACCCGTCCGCCCGCCCCGTCGCGGTGCAGGGTAGCCTTCGGTTTACGATGTCGGGTTTTGATGTTTGTGGTACATAGAAACTTCATCATGACCACAAGGCTAGTCCTTCCTGCGCAGGTGAGCCGAGCAATCAGGAATATCATTGACACTCGAGGTTGTCGTAGTCATCTGGCAGCCGCTGTAGCATGAGCAGCTGTGGCACAACAGCAGACAGGTGAACAAAAACAAGCATGAATTTGGGGGCGGCGAGGAGTAACATCAACACTGGTACCAATTGGAAGGCAGGTAGTGAAACTGAGATATGGGTGCTAGCATTGGTGGCGACCGAAACAGCAACGATAAGAACAGCGGCATGAATAGTGGTCTGACAGTGGTAGTCTTGACACTGTGCTTCCACTAAGAAAAAGCTAAACCTAGTAGTACTTGTGAGCAAAGTCGGTAGCCATATACTGGCACAGCAAAGTTTGAAGACTTGAAGAGGACCTCCCCAAAGTGCAGCTCAGAGAGGACGAGGACAAGCAAAGGGCAGTGTCTCTCGTGCCTAGCTCTTTTCCCACTCTCTCTTGGGGGTTTAGGACTTGGGCTTTCACTGGCTCATAGATGGGTCTTCTATGGACAAGGATTGTGAAGGCCCGAACAATTGGTAATGATGTCTCCTTGTAGTCCCTTTACATGACTCCCTAAACCCCAAACCCTAAACCCTAAACCCTAAACCCAGACTAGAAGACCTCCTCACCCCTCAAACCTCGGTATGGTTATCAACACCCCCGTAGTGGGACGAGAGCTCTGAAGTCATGAGCATGGCATGGCCCTCAACCACATAGAGGGCTGGAGACGACGCAAGGGTTTTTAGCTAAAGGATCGGCTGAGTTTAGTGATTGCGTTCTGATCCCCTGAATCGCGTTCTGCTAATCAGGTATAGGGCGCTTGATGTTGGGGCAAGTCGCCTAAGGTACCTCAAGCCACACATGGAAGTTGGTTCAGTTAGAGTGCTTGCAGTTGTGGCCTGCCTGTGAGCAGCTACCTCCACACAGTTCATGAAGTAGGATGGAAACATCCATCTCCGCAACCTGTCCGTGAACATGGCTCAGAAGGAGGAAGATGCGCAGCTCGGCCCGTATGAACATTTTGTCTGATGTTCTCCGTGATGGACGTGCGACGGTTATGTAGGTATGCTCGAGTCGCCGTCGTGTTCTAGAGGCAAGTCGTCCTTGCTCCAGCAGAGATGCAGACCCTACGCTTCTTCGCGAAGCGTTCGTTGTGGTACGGTTTGATGATCTTTAGCTTCAGAGTTTATGCGCCAAAGGTTGGGGACCTTCGGGTCGCGGACCCAAGAGTGCGAACAGGTCGTCTCCGGAAACCATGTCCGGATTCTACATGTTCTAGCATTACAGTCTCTAGCGGATACGCAAGACATGCATATGTGCATATACATATACACATCCCTCCACCGAAACCTCGTGGAGTTTTTGAGGCCTTTGGAACATAAGATGTCCGTGGAGCAACAAGGTTTAACTCCGTACCCGGTACCCAGACACGGCAAGACACCCTTCATCAAGGAAGTTGAATACTCAAATCTTAGTACTTTCCCCACACCCTAAACCCTAAACCGGAACCCTAAACCCTAAACCCAAAACCCAAAAAAAACCCTAAACCGGAGGGTCCCTTTAAGAAAGTGATATTGGAGTCTCGGATGTTCCAGATGCTTTCTGGAAGGCTAAACTTGCTGTTCCTCGGGGACACGAACAGAGTCGTCGCGGAGACGCCCATGAACGATGTGTCTACCAGATGCTTGCATCGTAATCAGCAGGGTTGGCAGGGTGGGAGGCAGCCACGTGCTAGATCTGCATCCGGGAGTCTTTGCAAACCCGAAAACGTGATGCCTGCCCCGAGGAAGCCACTGCATGCCAGAACCTCAGAATGACAGTCTCCCTAAGCCCTACCTGAACCCCAAATAACCGACATGTTTGAGGACTTATATCAAGAAATCATAATTAGGGTCCCGTAGGTTTTATGGGGTCCAGGTAAACCCTAAAAGCCCGAGACCCATCAGTGTTTCGGCGAGGCAGACCGAGGCTCAGGGCGTTTTGGGGAGTTCCTGGGTATCTAAGCCGGTGCATGCCTGGACTGACTGCCTACAACACAACGTGCGAGGGCTGTGGGAGAAGGCTTGTTATCTTATCTTCTCTTACCTTACTCTACCCTACATTACCATATACTAAACTATATGAAATTATGTGTTGATATATTAAACCATGTGGTATCTTATTATGTTGTTATGTTATGGTATGCTATGATATGTTGTGTTGTGTTGTGTTATGCTAGGTTACATTCCATCACCTGGAAATACATTATGATGTACATTTGTGTTATGTTTTTTGTAACAGGTTGTGTTATATTACGCTCTACTAAATACTGCGTTTCATTGTACATTATAGCATTTTATGTCATACTACTTGTCATGGCATCTTGTAACCTACGATGCTTTGTTAATGCATTGTGTTACATGTTACCATATCAAATCGCATGACAGGTTACGCGGTGTTTCCATGCTACGTTATTTTGGGTTAAATATCTCCAGATTCGGTTAGATGAGATTAAGTAGTTTTGTCATATTGTCTGATCCCTCTTATGTTCTACATTATTGTATAGTAGTACATCATATCATGTTTTTATTATATACACTTGCCCTATCTACAAATTTGTTGATGTTTTTTTAGATGGTTCGATTAGGTTAGACCAGGCTACGTTAGATTCGGTTGTCTGTTCTGATTCTATGTTACTTCTTACTGGGCTATCGTGTATAAAATCTACTGTATTTTGTTATGCTGTTATGCTTTGTGAGACTTTACTACGGTTTTGAATAGTATGTTGAAATATTTAATCTAGCATTTTTTGTGGCATTGTTCTAGCCACATTCGAGCAGCAGCTAAGATGAGCTTATCCTAACTGATCTCAGCTTACCCTGTGCGATGTTATGCTCTAGTCGTTTTCCTTTCTTTTTTGGTCTTTAGTACATAGTGTTATCTGATGTTGCCTTGCCTTACAACATATGTGTGCCATGCCGAGGCTCATCATGTGGGTCCTAAGCCCTATTCCCAAAGACCTAAGGCCCTAAAGCCTAAACCCTTAAACCCAAATCCCTAAACCTCTCAAGTTCCAAACCCCGAAACCCTAAACCTCAAGCCCGAAGATCTAAGGTTCATCATGTGGGTCGAGTCGACACAGGCGAACTCTGATACAGCCAATGCCTCGAGCAGAGCATTCCGGCACTGGTTGGCTTTCCCTTGGCTCATGTGGGTAGCTCTAAATTAGGCACCCTTTGTTGGTTTGCTTTAAAGGGTCTCCGAGGGATTCTATACGGTTTTTATAAGGGTACTATCAGAGGGTTCCATATGGTAGAAGTTATCCAAATTAGGGCCCTTGTTCAGGAACCCCGGCATAGAGCTGCCCCCCTATGTAAAGGACCGTAGAAGGATCCTAACTTATAGAACACTAAACCCTAAACCCTAAACACCTAAGCCCTAAACACCTAAACCCTAAACCCTAAACCCTAAACCCAAACCTAAACCCTGATGCATCAAGTGAACAAAGTGCAAGGCAGGTCTCGGCGTGGAAATGGGGCAGGGTTGGGTTGCGGTGTTCTCTGAGCAAGATATGGGAGAGAGTTTGCAAAGAGTCTCCTTCATTCGCCCAAGTTGAACCCGGTGAGCTCCAGAGAGCTGCAGAGACCAGGTTTTTTCTAACTTTCGATGAGAGAAGCTCGCGGCTAGTACCCTAAACGCTCAACACTAGATCCTAAAGCCTCCACCCCCAAAACCCTAAACCCAGAACCCTAAGAGCCAACCCGAAGCCCCAGGACCCCAGACTCCTAAGCCCGAAGACAAAGTCAGGTGCGGAGAGCCAAACTACACCTGGTGGATCTTGCGGCTCGAATGAGCGCCGGTAAGAGGAGGTTTGCGGTTTTGAGTTTAGGGTTTAGGGTTTAGGGCGGTTTGGAGTCTGTGTGTTTAGGGGTTTTCGGCTTCGGGCCATGGCGCCGCACTAAACCCTGTGATTCCTGCAGCCCAAGATTTCACCCAAACCTTCCTACTCAAAACCCGGACCTTAAATCACACATACCCAAAATCGTAAACCGTAAATGCAGTACATTCAGCTTATCAGACTTCGACCAGCCTGCAAAGCGGGCTCGTCCTTGCTGAATCTGTGCAGAGTTTTTAGTCTTGGGTCTCACGAGAGACAGGAGAAGGGAACTTAATTGTCAATCATATGACCTTCAGACAGATGACAGGAATGCCATGCATTCCTCCTCAAAGGCAGGTTGGGCTTAGGGGCGCCCCTGGATCGCATGTGGTTTGGACACTTGACCTAGCAAGCAAAGGCAGGAGAACAAAGTCATAAGCCCAGAAGAGAACAACTTCATAAGCCCAGAAGGGGTCATAGCCGTCCAGCTTCGTGAGGAGGATTTTAAACCCTAAACCCTAAACCCTAAACTATCTGGCAGCTTGGGCTTTTGTGCTGCCCTAGGGAGTATTGCGGTGTCGATCCACGTCAGCATGCAAACCCCAGTACCTATAGTCTCCATTGTACTTCCTTGTGGGGGATACCTTATAAAGTCCTTCATATATACTTGGCTAAGCCAAAAAAACGGAACTACAATGGAGACTATAGGTAGGGGTTAAAGAGCCACAAGGCTGGAAGCGAACGTATCTCCAAGAGCGGTGCCGGAGCCTCAGCTTAAGCTTCCTCAAAGTTTCAGGGTTTACCTATAGTCTCCATAGTAGTTCCTTTTTGGGGATACGTTGTAATATATATATATATATATATATGTATATATATATATATATTAAGGATTTTTCAAGGTATCCCCAGAAAGGAACTACAATGGAGACTATAGGTAGGGTTTGTTTCAGTGCCTTTTTGCTTGTAGGGCTTCGGGAGTCTGCGACTTAGGGTTTTCAGGCTTTTTGGTTTTGCGGTCCTGGGACGACAGAAAGAGTCTGCTTTTTATCTGTTCGTCATCTGTGATATTCCCAAAGGGTCCTAAGTATTTATATAATTTGCATAAAGCAGGGTTTCTACAGGAGGAATTTCTATTATGGCAGTACGGTCTGGGTATTATCTGCCACATAGGTACTATAGGGGCCTAAATAATTAACTATACTATTTTGGGGGCTCCCTATTATATTATTATAATTATAGTATAATGGGCCAAAAAACCCTTTACTAATTATTAAGGCCCCTACATTTCTTCTCAGGATCCTCTGGGCCCAGGAGAGCTCCACGTCCAGCGGAATGCATGGGTGTTGCAGGTTCGTACTCTGATGCCAGTGTATAGAAAGCCCATGATACGGAATGGATTCGCAACATAACCTAACCAAGTCGACGGCTAGAGTCACTTTTTTCGTGTGTTGCCGACGGTGTTTCCTGCTTTGGACCGTGCCAGTTTGCGGTTTGCAGGGCCCTATATGAGGATGCTGTACTGCTGTGGAGCTTAGTTTTGCAGGAGCGCAGCGACGAGTGAACAGATTTCCTTTTCAGGCGGACTTGGGTGGCACCTGGAAAACCTACACTTATGAGCTACTGTTGCACAGACAACTTCGATTTGTCAAGATACCTAAACGGGACAACGGGACCCACTGTGGTCAACAATTCCAAACCGCATTGTTGTTTAAACCGAGTTCCGGGCGTGGCGATACACATGATAATCCGATCTGTTTGTAGCTTCAGAGCCTCCAAGAATCGACAAGGGGTCTACAATTCCTACTATGTACCAAAGCCCCATTCTCTGCTTGTCCCTGTGCACAAACCTGCTTGACGGGACGTATTGGTTGTGGTAGGAGCGGCATTCGAAACTTTGAACCCCAAATAAAGACTCGACCTGAGCCCTACAAAACCTTCGTTTTCAGGGCTCCCTATGAAGACTTCCTTTCAAAAATCCTAAACCCTAAACCCTAAACCCTAAACCCTAAATCCTCAAAAGGGTTGGTTGTCTGGGGTCCAGGTCCGAAGCCGTAAACCCACACACGCGCGTGCCTGGCCATGTGCTGTTCTTCACTTTTCGTATCCGGAGAGGGGGTGAAAGGGGGTTGGGAGGGGGGATGGGAGGGGGGCGAGGGGCGTGGGGTGGTTACGACCATGTTACACAAACCAACCCGAAACCCTGCTATTTACGGCGTTTTTGCTTGCTTATACAACATGTGCAGAAGGATGTCTGATGTTCAGCTAGACGAGGCCTGGTCACAAGTGTTCATGACATTTGCGAACATGCCCAAAACCCTGCTGTTTGCAGCTTTTTTCCTCTTTATACACCATGTTGCAGAGGAGTGTTTCATGCTCAGCAACACGAGGCGTGTCACAAGCGTTCATGCCATTCTGCAAGCATGCCCGAAAGCCTGCTGTTTGCCTCTTTATACAACGTGCGTCTCATGGAATACATCTACAGCTGGGTCTGGCGCTCGCAGTTCGATTCCGAAGCGGATGTCGCGGATCATTGGGAGAACGTGTGCTATTCTGAGTGCCCTAAGTGTGAGTCCCTGGATTTCCTGAAGCACGNNCCCTCCATTTCCACAGCCACACGCACGAAGTCGTGTAATTTACAGCACTTGCCGTGTGTGCCCTAAAACATAGAGGCCCGCCGCCACGCGGCCAGATATCAACGTGTGACCCCCTAAACCCTAAACTCTTCCAGGTTGAGGGTGACTTACAAAAGGAGGCCCGCTACATCAACCTGTCCTTGCTGGTGCCTCAGCGACCGGAGGCTTCCATGTGCCGGTTTAGGTTTTAGGTTTTAGGGTTTAGGTTCTACGCACTTAATCTATGTAGTGCGTAGCAGAGTTTCAGGTACGCAACGTGCTAGTTTTGGGAAGCAACTTTACAGCGCCCGAAGATTCAACACTGAAGACGTTGAATCGCATAGCCTTGAAACTTACGAAGGACTTGGTTTGAGCATCTCGAACCTGACCTGACCTAACCCAGGTCCCGAAGCATTGGAGCGGTCTCTCTCTCTCTCTCTCTCATCATGACAAATCGGCATGCTGCCACGCTGTATTGGTTCGTGGCTACATGTTGTTTTGTTCGTTTAATCTTATTTGTCAGATTTGTTTGATGTACTTGTTCTTACCCGTTCATACACTTTTTCAGAGTGAGGCAGACAGAGAGAAAGAGAGAGAGAGAGAGAGAGAGAGAGCCCCTGGCCGTTTCTTGCTTTGAGTCATGGCAGCCCATGTGCAGAAAGGGTTGGTTTGATCCGTTATATAAGACAGGAGCCTGAATAATCACAAATACTATTTTAGGGGGTTCCTTATTATAACTATAGTATGCCCTAAACCTTAAATCTTATATTAAGGCCCCTTTACTGCTTCGTGGTTGCCAGAGCATTGAGCCAACGAGGGGGGATGTCCGTACAGCTGAGACACCGACTTTCCATAGGCTCCATTATAGGTCCTTTTTGTGGTTGATATTTAGGATGCTATAAGGTAATTGCCCAAGAAGGAACTACTATGGAGCCTCTGGGTAGTGACGAGTCCGGTTTGGGGTTGTTTAGGCTGCAGGGGTCCCAAGTACATCGAGAGAGCTGGGCCTTTCCTCAGCTCCGGGGATCCCTTCACGCCGACCGTAGGGTTTTAGGGGTCCGACCTACCTATAGTCTCCATTGTAGTTCCTTTTTTTGGTTTAACCAAATATATATTAACGAGTTTATAAGGTATCCCCAAAAAGGAACTACAATGGAGACTATAGGTAGAGACCCGTGCACGACCTGGTGGCGGGAGGGCAGGTGAAGAACGAGCGAGAAAGAGAAAGAAAGAGCGAGAAACAGACAGACAGACAGCTTGACTCGCCCATTGAGCCTGGGAGAAAAGAGAGAGACAGAGACACAGACAGAGAGAGAGCGAGAAAGAAAGAGAAACAGAGATCGATCCAGTGCGGGGAAGGCGCGGGCAGCGCGAGAGCATTGTCATTTGTTTTTATTTGTGCGGAAGAAGATCGAGATCCAGAGAGGGAGGGAGGGAGGGCGAGGGAGGGAGGGTAGATGTCAAGTCTGGAGCCGGCAAGCCCATGTCGTCCACGCTCAGGGTTCAGGCTGACCACCTGAAACCCTGAGGCACTACCTGGAGCAAGTCATCGTGGCCTTGCACGAGCGCTCATCTGGAGCCCGCCACCATGTGCCGTACAGGACTGGCGCAGACTGTTTCGGCTTTCACGGCCACTGCCACATTCTGGGTCAAGCGCCTGCTCGAACGGGCCTTTCCCCTGACTTTTAACCTTCTAACAGATTCTAGCATGAGAGCTCATGTTTGACGCTCGGTGGAGTGCCCCAACACTTTAAACTGCCCTAAAACCCTACACCCTAAAACAGCCAAACCCGGAACAAAGAGCTCCGGGAGGAATTCCATGATGACGTCCGTCCTTCGAGATTCCCTAGGTACCGGCCCCAGCTCTTTGCGACTTCGCTGGGCCCTTTCCGGTTGAGTGTTGAAGGCCCTAGGGAGGTTTAGGGCTTATAGGGTTTAGGGTTTAGGGTGAGGGCTCTAGGGAGGGTCGGGGAGTCAGCGTTTGTTTCGGCTTGAGGCTCGGGCTTGGAATTTGAAGCGCTTGAGGGTTAACTCCTGTCACGATTTTGGGGGTTCCTTATTATAAAATAAAAATCGATTTGAAATATTATAAGACCCCTACATTAACTCCTGTCACGCGTTTGTGATGGCGCAAAGCCCACAAGAATTGACTTACTTGGCTGCTGAACGGGTTGGGAACCCTAAACCCTAAACCCTAAACCCTAAACCGTGGCACGTGCCTTGGAGATTCGAAGTTCTTGGGGACCCTCTCTTCGAACCGGTACCCCCGTTTTCCTTATATGAGATTCCTGGTAAAAGGGAACGGTGGGGGTTCCATAAGGGTTCGTATAGAGCTTCAGCATTCAAACCATGGATCCTGTACCCGAATCCAACTCTAGGTCTGCGATCACCCTGCAAGAAGCGGCTGGGAGCAGATTTCTGATATGTTCGGCATGCTTCAGACTGTCTTGAAGCCAGTGCGACTGGCCTTAAGTATTATTTGTGCAAGATATTGAACTTATAGAGTTTCAGCTTTAAAACCAAACCCTACTAGTATGACCCATGAATCATCATACTGATATTGGGGGTGGTTGTCATACAGGAACGCAGGCGTGGTGCGTCATCGCTTCATGTGTAGTAGACGTGTTGGTGTTGACCTTCAAACCGAATACTTTGACAATACATCTCTGAACGGCCGACGATTACCACAGTTGTTGGTGCTTGCGTGGGCTTAGGGTTTAAGGCTATGGTTGCTTTTAGCCAAGAGCTTCGTCGCTTGATAACCACTGCACACCTTGAATTCCGTAGCCCGGGTTCGTTTCAAGGCCATATAGGTAAGCCTTAAACCCTACCTTCGCAAGCGGCTGAATAGCAGCTTAGTTTTCGTGAGTGCTGGACTACTGGAAGCCGTCCCTGCTTGTGCGAGCGTGCGAGTCGAACTCCCGAAAGAGGTGGCAACTGCAAGACCGTCATGGTCGGCACTGCGGCTATCGAAGACCGTCATCTGGAGGAGCCGCAGCCATAGTGGAAGCACCCGGTGCTCTTGGGAGCTGGTTTGGAGCCAGGGTTTAGGGTTTCGGCTTCAGGATTGGTTGAGGTGTTTCAGATGCTTCATGTAGGGGCCTTAATAATTACCTATACCATTTTGGGGGCTCCTCATTAGAATTATACTAGCATACACCCCAAAGCCCTATTCTAATTATTCGGGCTCCTACATGGGTAGTTCTCTAAATTAGGGTCCCTTTTTAGGTCCCCAATATAGTACGGCACCCTTATAAAAAGGACCTAAAAGGGACCCTAGTATAGAAAACTACCTACATATGGGTTCCTGCCATGAGTGCAGCAGCTCTGAGATCTAGGCGGCCATGTAAGAGTCTGTTCAAAACGGCTTCAGCGTTTCGGGTTCAGGGTTTAGGGCTTACCAGGGCTTAGGGGTTAAAGGCTTCAGGGTTCAGGGTTTAGGGTTTACCAGGGTTTAGGGGTTAAAGGCTTCAGGGTTCAGGGTTTAGGGGCCAGGACGAGTGGCTAACTACAAGGCGTTCTTGCTTGCAAGCCTGCAGCAAAAAGACGCCAGGCATTCTTGCTTGCAAGCCTGCGGCAAAAGGGGCCAGTTGAATATGGTGGTGGTAGCGGCTGTGGTGTTTGTTGTTGTCGTTGTTTTCTTCTTGGCGAGCAGTGGCTCGAGGATCCAAGCCCCCAAAACCATCACAGCCCAGAGGATAGGTGCCGGAGGGTTTTCGGATTTCTGCCTTCTATGTTGTGGAACCTGATATATCATAGAATGTACTTACATATATAAATACATGTATATAACTGTGTGTGTATATACATATAGATATATATATATATACATATGGCGGTGTCAGTGCGAGCTGGTGTTGCCAAGTGGGAGCCAAAACACATATATATATATATATGTTATATGTATATATTAGTTACACAATATATATATGTATATATATATATATATATATGGTCGCCCCCCCCCCCCCCGTTGACA